AATTTTATTTCCAAGCCAGAGAAGTCTCTTGCTTCCTCTCTTGCATTGTGCAGTGACTTTGCTGTGATCATACCCTGTCAGTACTCAAGAGCAAATTGGGATCCAATTTTCCACCCAGACTTACAAAGTTGGCATCCAAAAGCCCATAATTCATCAGTTTTACCATTCCTGGCAATTGCTCAAGGCAAATTGGATCCTTTCACTAGCCAGCATTTGTTTGTACTAGTCCATAGTACTCTGCTACCATCTAATGGCCACTAATTGCTCAGCTCAACTTAGAACACGATTCAGTAGCTGTGGGTCAGAAAGAATGGAGAAAAATATTTTTCTGTGACTATATAATCTGTGAGAGACAGATTCAGCCATGAATATTTGCTTGAGATATTGACTAGTCCCCAATAGGACATATTGTAGCTCTTTGCTAATTGAGAAGGTAGTGATGGTGGTAGCTATGCAGGAGATACAGGGAAATATTCATCCTTTATTCAACACATTCTGCCTTTGGTTATCAGACTCACAATTAAAATTCATCAGCTTTAATTTATATGCAATATAATGCAGCACTATGTATTACTTTGAATCCAGACCCAAAAAACATGTGTGAATTTAAAAAGCTCAGTTAGCTTTAAGTGAGGTATTTTGGGGGGATTTCAGGATTATTTGTGTATGTGTAATTCAATTTATGAATACTTAAAAATTCTCTAGGCTGGTGCTGTGAGGTAGTAGGTTAAACATTCACCTGCAGCACCGGCATGCTGTATGGGCACTGGTTCTAGTCCCAGCTGCTCCACTTCCCATCCAGCTTCCTGTTGATCAACTGGGAAACAGTAGAAGATGGTCCAAGTGCTTGGGCCCTTGCACTTGAGTGGGAGATCCAGAAGATCCAGGTAGAGTTATAGACAGTGAGAGAGAGAAACAGAGAGAAAGGTCTTCCTTCCGTTGGCTCACTCCCCAAATGGCCACCATGGCCAGCGCTGCGCCGATCTGAAGCCAGGAGCCAGGTGCTTCTTCCTGGTCTCCCATGCAGGTGCAGGGGCCCAAGCACTTGGACCATCCTCTACTCCTTTCCCAGGCCACAGCAGAGAGCTGGATCGGAAGAGGAGCAGCTGGGACTAGAACCAGCACCCATATGGGATGCTGGAGCTTCAGGCCAGGGCGTTAACCCACTGCACCACAGCGCCGGCCCCCAAGAATAGATTTTCTGATTCTTTTTCTAGCAGCCTGACGTATTAACTCTGTGCTATTGCTGTTACATCTGGTATAAATTTGTTGATTGAATTTCTATCCCATCCTGAGAGGATGATGACAATTCAGCGTTATGCTGGAAGCTATCGCTAAATCCTGACTTGTTCCACCTTTCTACCATTAGTACACACCATTCCTTGCTTGGACTGTGAAGTTTTAGTTTCATGTACCTTAGGAATTACCTTGTTCCTCCTCCTGTGTTTATGACAATGAAAAGTGGCTTTAAAACTTGCTGGTTTTTTTTTTATAGCTTTTTCATCTTGGTGCGTGTTTGGCTGTTTTTTTGTGTGTGTGTGTGTGTGTTTTATTTTTGTTGTTGTTGTTGTCTTGTTTTGTTTTGTTTTGTGTTTTTGCTAAAGGCTAAACCTGAATAGAAGGAAAAGAAGGTCTTGCTTATAATTCTACCTTTGCATCCAGGAAACTAATTGGAAACTGAACAAACTAAGGCTTACTGAATACATGAGCAAAGTGATTATATGATCCCAATGTTAGATTCTACTCAGTTAAACTGATTCCACTAAGTAGTGGGGAAGTATGATCTAAAAACCTCCTGTTGTGCTACAGAGGTGTATCTATTTATTGTGCAAACATTTGGTGAGTAACTTCTAAATATCAGGCTCTCTGTTGGGCACTAGTGATACAATTTTTAATCAAACTCAGTCACTGCTTTTTAGCTTCGTTTGTCTGGATCTAAAAGTGGCATGGACATCTCACAGTAGAATCAACATCAAATAATTTGGTGGACCAGATCTTGATTTTATGAACCCAGCCAACATTGTTCTTTTATTAATGAATACTTCTGATACACATAATTCCCATCAGCTTTTGTATAGTTTTATGGGGTGACACTGCCTATTAAATAATGTCTAATTTCTCCACATTTCTCAGAGACACATAATTCCATTATCACCTACAGAAAATGCATTCTACACTTTATCTTTAAGTACTTTGGATAATTTTATCATTAGACACTGTAGCATTTGCTGTCCTACCATCTATAACAAAAATTCCACAAATACATATACTCCTTACTAGAAGTTATTTTTGGTACGAAAGACAGAAATATTTTCTATAAATTTTAACATAATATGCCATGAATTACTAGATACCTGGGATCCCTTCACCTTGGTGATTGATTTTTTTTTTACAAATCTTTTTTTTAAAGATTTATTTTATTTTTATTTGAAAGACAAAGTTAGAGAGAGAGGTAGAGACAGAGAGAGAGGTCTTCCATCCACTGGTTCACTCCACAGATGGCTGCAACAGCCAGAGCTGTGCCGATCCAAAGCCAGGAGCCAGGAGCTTCCTCCGGGTCTCCCACGTGGGTGCAGGGGCTATCTTCTACTGCTATCCCAGGCCATAGCAGAGAGTTGGATCAGAAGAGGAGCAGCCGGGACTAGAACCAGCACCCATATGGGATGCACTTCAGTCCAGGACTTTAACCCACTGTGCCACAGCGCCGGCCCTGTTATTGAGTTTTTAGCTCCTCCTAAACATTGTGAGTATGCTAGTTCCTTAACCTTAGATGATTATGGAGTTGCTGATAAAATGTTAGTTTGCAAAACCCAAGACACAGACATTATTGGAATAGCTAATTTCCTGACTGGAGTTCATTTTTTTTTTTAAAGATGCTGACCAAAAACTACATCAAGAAGAGGATTATTCTCACTGATCCCTAACCTGTGTCAACAAACCCATCAATCTACCTGTTCCTCACAGGTTCAATGACATGGCCTGCTTTCAGGAGTGAGATAACAGGAGGATGCCCTTTTGCACTCTGTACCACTGGCGTGTTTATGCACCATTATGCCTTTTGGATTTTATTATGTCTGGGCGATTTTCCAATAGTTTATGAACATGGTGTTTCAGGACTTTCCTGGATCGAAGTGTGACTGTCTATCTGGACAGTATCTTAGTCTACTCATGACAGCACTGTCCAGATGGTCTTGGACTGCCTCCAGTAGAATGAGCTTTTTGCCAAAAATGTACAAGTAGGAATTTTACAAAGTCCAAGTCAAGTGCCTGGTGTATGTACTCTCCTCACAAGGGATTGGGATGGACTTCTGGAAAGTCAAATCAGCACTGATTAGGACACACATCTAATTCTTCAAAAACTCCATAATCTTTCGCATTCCATATGTAATTATATTAGGTGCATCCTCCCCTTTTTGGCCCTGGGTGTCTCTCTAACCAGTCCTCTGTAGGAAGCATAGTTGTTTAAGTGAATTATTGAGTCCAAGATAATTTTAAAAAATTAAAACACACATTTCTGCTCATATTCTGACATATTCGTACTCCTAGAGATCCATGATTTTAATTAGCATTTGAAAAGTCTTCTCTCCATTTTGATACACACACAAAAAATCCTTTTGAGTTCCCATGCTCTTCAGCTACTTCCCTATATATTTCTTATCTTATAAAGATAATTTTTTTAAAAAAACATTGTCCACATGAGTGTGAGTTACCACATTTAGTAAATAAAATTATAGGAATCCACTATTTTACAAGGCAATTCTAACTGTTCTTAAAGTGTAATAGTTTATTACAATTCCCAGTTTTCACGTCACTCCAGTCACTCACCTACATCCCTTCAATATAAATCTGCCTTACTAAAGTAATCCATGACATTTATGTTGAAAATGATATGGACAAACTCCGAGTTTATTTGTTCTCTTATCATTGGACTCTTTACTCCTTTCTCCTTTTATTATTAGTATTATTTTAAATTGATAAGTAAAATCGTATGCATTTTTCATGAATAACATGATGTTTGGAGTATATACATATATACATATGAAATCACATTTTCATATTTCATATATAAGTAAGATCACCTGGTATTTACCTTTCTACTCCAACTGATTTTACTTAACATAATATCCTATAGATTCATCTATATTGTTACAAATGATAGGATTTTGAATAAGATTCCATTGTGTATATATACCATATTCTTTATCCATTCATCAGTTGTTGAGCACTCAAATTGATTCTATAACTTGGTCACTATGAACAGTGCTGTAAAAAACATAAGAGTACAGATGTGTCTTTGAACAGAGTGATTTTATTTATTTTGTATATATACCCTATAGCAAGATTGGTAGACCACATGGTATTTGTATTTTTAGTTTTTTGAAGACATCCATAGTGGTTTCCATAATAGCTGCTTTTTTTTGACATTTAAAAATTTTTATTATGCTTGCCAACTACCACTCTATATGGTTTTCAGAAATGTCAACATATTTTGCAATTACATTGTAGTTGGAATTGAGTAAATTTACTGACACCTTTACAATATTGAAACAAACTTCCAGGAATAAATTATTTTCTGTTTATTCAAAAGTTCTATTCTGTCCATAAAGGTTAATTATTTCTTTACTATATATAAAATCCTGAGTATATTCATCTGTAATTTTATTTTCCTCAGTTTGATACTAGGACACTTTAATCTTTGTTCTATATTCCACAACAACATAATGGATCCTTGGAATTTAAAATCTGTGAACGTAGGTCCTGAAATAGGAATACACCATTCAAGTTCTCTATTTCTTTAGTTAAATAGTGGTAATTTCTGTTTGCCTTTACTAAATAATTATGCATCTATTCTTCCCAGAAAATTCAGTCATGGCCAGAGTTCTGGCCACACCTCAAATCATGCTCTATGTATCAGGTCAGATTTCCTCATCAACAAGGGAAAAAAGCATTAGTCATGAGAAAGCCACTACATTGTTTTATTAAAGTTTAAACAGGGCGCCAGTTTTGAAGGGAGCCGAGTAGGGTTGCGGTTGGAGCCTGTGTTTAACCGCGTCGGTTACAGGTCACGATGACCGTCCCCTCTCCGGAGGAGCTGGACTCCTTCAAGTACAGTGACCTGCAAAATTTAGCCAAGAGTCTGGGCCTCCGGGCTAACCTGAAGGCAGAGAAGTTGTTAAGAGCCTTGAAAGCCCACCTGAAAGAGGAAGCAGGAAGAGAAAAGGAGCATCAGGCTGAAGGTCAAACCTCTGCTTCCTCCTGTGGCAAGCCTGAGATAGAGATTTGTGGCGAGGAACAAGCTGCTAGGGAGCCGGCTGGCCAAGTCATCAAAAGGAGGAGAAGGCGCAAGACAGCCCACAGGAACCCTGATCCCCAGCAGGATCTTTCAGAGATAACAATCAGTGAGAGCACTGAATTCCAGAGTCAAGAAAAGCAGGAAGACCAGATTCCTGGGACTACTGCAGAAGTTCCCTCTTCCTATAGTGTGTAAGAGTTCATTTTTCTCCACATTCTTATGAAAACATTTGCATATTTTGTCATTTTTGTAATACTCATTTGAACAGAAGTAAGGTTGTATGTATTTGGATTTTGATGTTTATTCATATTTTCCTGATGATTAGTGATATTGAGTATATTGCATATACCTATGGGTTATTTGTAAATGTTATTTTGAAAAAAATGTCTATTCAGATATTTCCCCTTTTTATATGGTGTTATGATTGGTTTTCTTGCTGTTGAGTTGAGTTTCTTATTATATTTATCATTTTTAATTTTATTTCATTTATTTGAAAGGCAGAATTACAGGGAGAGAGGGAGAGACAGAGAGAGAGTTCTCCCATCTGCTGCTTCACTCCCCAAATGGCTGCCATGGCCAAGAATTTGCCAGGCAGAAGCCAGGAGCCAGGAGCCAGGAGCTAGGCGTTTCCTCCTGGCCTCCCACCAGGATGGATGCAAGGGCCAAAGCACTTGGGCTATCCTCCACTGCTTTTCCCAGGCACTTTAGCAGGGAGCTGGAAAGGAAGTGGAGCAGCCAGAACTTAAATTGGCGCCTGTATGGGATGCTGGTATTGCAGGCAGCAGCTTTACCTGCTACACAACGATGCCGGCTCCTATATTAAGCCCTTTATTAATCCTTTGTCATGTATACAGTTTGAAAAAATATTTCCTATCATTCTGGAGATTGTCTCTTCGCTTTTTTTTTTTTTTTGACAGGCAGAGTGGACAGTGAGAGAGAGACACACACAGAGAGAAAAGTCTTCCTTTTTGCCGTTGGTTCACCCTCCAATGGCCGCCGCAGCCGGCGCACCGCGCTGATCCGAAGCCAGGAGCCAGGTGCTTCTCCTGGTCTCCCATGGGGTGCAGGGCCCAAGCACTTGGGCCATCCTCCATTGCACTTCCTGGCCACAGCAGAGAGCTGGCCTGGAAGAGGGGCAACTGGGACAGAATCCAGCGCCCCGACTGGGACTAGAACCTGGTGTGCTGGTGCCACAGGCGGAGGATTAGCCTATTGAGCCACGGCGCCGGCCATCTTCACTTTATTGATTGTATCCTTTGCTGGGTAGAAACTTTTAATTTAATATAAGCTCATTTACCTATTTTTTGCTTTTATTGTCTGTC